AGTTGGTAGAAATCATCTATTTCTTCTTCTTTGGCTCTGGTTGTTGGTGCGCATATCTGAATGCTCTTTTAATAATTATCTCTAAGAGGATCAGACTGAGCAACTTTAAAGAGCAGAGAGAAACCTAGGGGGAGAGGGAGTTTATAGTCGGGAGGGAAGAACTCAGAAAAGAGTGACTATAGCACAGAGGGAAGAATGTAATTGTTGGCACTAGATTGGTACATGTAGAAACTATTGAGTTGTAGGTATTGCAACAAAATAAATGAAAAAGGAAAAAAAAGGAAACAGGCAGCAAAAAATTAAATGTTAAGTATGAGTAAAAGTGAAGGAAAAGAAAAAAAAGCCTCATTTCCTCCCCTTTCATAAGACAGTATGTTACTTTCCATTTTCTTGCTTTGAAATGAAGTGCTACTTATTTTATGTAGACATTTCAGTTTCCCACTAATTGGTTAGAGAACATGTACACAGGCTCAGAGAACCCACCCTGTCCATTATAAGCAAGTTCCGATGGATCCTTTGTGTGTGTGTGTGTAGGATGGTGAACACTGAAGTGTGAAACTTGAAATAGATGGCAAGTCTATTGTTCAATTCTTAATTTGAAAGGCTGAACTGCATTCTTCCCTTTCACAATTCTAAACTAGAAGCCATCATTCTGCTTTTGAAATTAGCAACAGATAGCTTGTTTGAAAGGCTGGAGAGCTATTCTCTCCAGCAGGCAAGCTGCAGGTTTTGACTGAAGTTTGGGGGTGATGTGATGAACCACTAAATTGGAATATTACTGAACTCTTTTAAGTACATTTGTTTTCTGATTCAGTAAATTTTTTTTCTTGGTCAAATTCTTTAAACTTGATATAGAGTCTCCTCTATATAGCAAAAGAAATACACTAAAGAGCACGTTAAGAAAGTAGCATCAGTCATAGAAAAAAAGAGAATAGAGAGATCTTTTCTATTCCATTTCTATTTTTCATATTAACTCTGGATTTTAATTTTTTAAGGTTATAAAGTACTAGGTTATTCAAAAAGTTAAGCGGAATGAGGCTATTTTCTCAATGTCTGAATAAGGCTTCATTGTCAATCAAGTTGTCCTCCAAACAATGATTCTGGTGATGATGACATATCTGACCTACAATTCAGGCTCATTTAATAACTTGGGAGAGAAATGAGAAACTAAAATTACATTTTGCTATCCACACTTTGCAGGAATCTTGTAGTTCAGAAGTTTGCAAAAATATTGGTTCAAGGGCACAGCTGACGTTCTGAAATGAAGTCTTGAGAATTATTATCCTTTATTTGGAATTGAAACTTTGAACAGGCTAATAAAGGCTTTGGAACATGAAATATTACTTTGAAGTGTTATAATTTGTGGAGGATCATTTGATATTCACAAGTGCTACCTTTCCTCCAAGAAAGGGTAGTCATGGCAATTCAGAGAAGTGGCAAAAGGTATAAGATGCAAGGAATTTTCATCCTAGCAACAGTTGCTAACTGTAGATATTATACTCCATAAGAAAAATGCTAAGTGTAAAACAATTTTCCAATAATTACTCTCGACAAAATAGACAACAAACTCATCAATAACAGGACATTGTGCAGGAAAAGGTCCAAAGCCCATGTAAAGAATAAGGATTGTTGTTGTGTACCACAGAGTCAGAACAGACCCATTTGGGATGAGATTGCCCGTCTTTCTCCCATGGGGTAGCTGGTGGCCTTGAACGGTGTGTCTTCAGGATTGCAGCACAACTTCTTGCCACTAGGTCACCAGGTGCTAAATATGCTTCTTTAAAGCTTCTACAACATATAAGGCAGAAGTTATGCAGCCGTCGAAGTTAGACTGAGTGAATCCATCCCCTCCACACACAAGGAAAGGCTGGCAGTGAAGAGTCATTTGGCCAGGGCAGCTGGTGGCAGCCTTTGTAACCTGTGAAAGTAGGGAGGAAAAAAGATAGCTTGTAATTGACACTTGCACACTCCATCCCGATGTTCTGGTGACAGCCCCCCACCCCAAGAAAAGTCTTCCTATTTGGAGATATCAGAAATTGACCCAATGATGGACGGGAGGCAAATAAGAGCCCTAACCTCATCTCCTCCCACCTCAAAGTATTCACATTTTAAAATGTTCAGCTTTTCAGCTCTTCAATACACTAAACTGAATTCAGGATTCAATATACACTTAATCAGAGAGAGGTGTGCTAAATTATAAGATAATATCATTTGTGATATATTAGTGTGATGTTATATATAGTTTGTGAAATTAGCTGGAAGCAGAAATTTATTATATTCATTAACCAAAACATAGCCACCAGCTTTAAGACTGACTCATGCTGATCCTCCCTCCATTGGGTTTCTGAGGCTACAGATCTTTATGGGAGAAGCCTGTCCTCCTCTCTCCTACAGGATGGGATGGCAGGCATATTTGGAGGTTGAACAGTCAGTTAGCATCCTGACGGGTTACACACTGTGCCACTCAGAATCCTGATCTGTATTTATGATCATTCCTCTACTTCCTTTTGTAAGTGATCATATTGGTTTTCTCTGCACTTTCTTGCTTTCAAAATAAATGCCACTAACTTCATGTAGATATTTAAGTTTCCCATCAACTGCTTGCTAAAAGGACACACATTATTCCATGCCACAGACTCAGAGAACCTACTGTGCCAATCATTAAGCAAGTTCCACATAATAATTGAGTATCTGTTATGTGCCAACAAGGCAGATGGAAAAGAGACTGAGATGTGTACAAGGAAACAGGAAAGGCCATCCTAAGGGAAGGGAACAGCATGTGGAATGTCCAGGGTCTAGGCAGGAGAGGACAAATGGTGCTTAGGGAACTTTGGCCCAGGTCAAAGTACATGTACCTGGATGTGCGTGGCTAGGAGAAGAGGCTACGACAACACAGCTAAGATGTATTTTTTTTCCCTCCAGAATGAAAAGATAAAAAAGTCATTAATTAAAATTCACCTACTAAAAAATAAAGAATTGACTCTATATGAACTAACAGAGACACTCAGCCAAATTTAGCATTTATTTAATTTCACAGCACAAAGGCAATATTGAAATGATGAAAAAGGCATAGAGGTTATTACTGGAAAAATTGTGCTTGAAACTAGGTTGAGGGATATTAATATGCATTCACAGTGATGAGAACAAATGAGAGATAAACATGGAATTTTTGGGTACTGAGACAGTTTGGCCACTGAAGCAACAGACACTACCACCACCCTCCCCGCCCCAGGTTTTTACAAAAGATAATCTCACTTTAGAATTTTTAATTACACAACTTCAGAGGGTACCACTGGTGTAGACTACAGCTTGGTAAATTTGGTTTCTTTTATATTCTTCTATGGATAAAATGAAATAAGGCCTGTAAGAATCTACTTGCTCAAAAGGCAAAATAAAAAAGGAAATAAACACTATTTGTATGATGGTGCTGAAATGTCAGTCTTACAACACTAGACAGGCTAATTTAATATATGTATTTATATATTTTTAAGTCAGATAAATATTATATGTTGCTATGTGGATCAAGTCATCTGCGACTCACAGCAACCCTACGTGTACAGATCTTTTTTTTTATATGCCCTATGTGCAGTCCCCAAGTTCTTAGTTATCTACAGGTGTTATAACTGAGATACCATGAATAGATGGCCTTAATAACAGACATTTATTCTCACAGTTGAGGAGACTGTAAATTCAAATGGAGTATGTTAACACTCGAGGAAGGCCATCTGGTTCTGTTGGTTGTAGAGAAAGTTCTTTGATTTCCTCGGCAACTCTAGGCCTGCTGTTCCTGGATCTCCATGTGTTCTGGCCTTACCTGGTGTCAAAGAACTTCACTGTGCAGGGGCCAGGCCTACCCATGGCTATTAGTTATTAGTCATACTGCGGTCCCCCCTCCCCCAGCTCTGGAGTTACTTACCTCTGCTTTTATCTCTAGTGAAAGGGAAAAAAAAATCACAAGTCAGATCCCTTACATCTGATTAGGGTTGTAATGGAATTAGGGATGTCACATTTCACTCTCAATCCTCCTACAACTATTTTAGTTTACCAGAATCTTGGGGGATCCTTCTACAGCTTCCCTAGTACTCCGTTCAAAAGCTCCAAGCCATGCAAGTCAGAACGATGACCTTCTATCTGGTTTTCACAGGCTGTCAATCACATGGGCAGAGACTGTCCACTTTTCCCTGTGAGGCCCCTGGTGGCTCAGAACCACCACAGAGGCACCACTGGGTTTGCAGAACAATTCTGTATGGACTATGCCACAGTTTTCTATTACATTGCTATATGCGTGTATTTTGGGAGGACACAATTTGATCCACAATACCTGGTAGCAAACAAGATCCATTCTTTAAGAACTTGTAGGTAAGTCTAACCAGGTGCACACGTTTCAGGTTTAGCCTTAGTTCAGTGCCAAAAAGGAGGCCTGGTGAAGCGGCTAACTGTAAGGTTAGTGGTTTGAGCCCATCTGTCCTTCTTTGAAAAAGTGGACTTGGTCTTCCCTAAAGATTTTGAGTCTTAGCAACCCTATGGGCAATTGTACTCTGTCATGTAAAGGGTCATTGTGAGCCGGAATCAATTCCATGATAGTGGGTTTAGGCTTAATACAAGGGAAGACTTGATTCTTTTCAATGCTTTAAAAGTTCTATGTGCACCAAATGAAGGTGACTATGATAAAGAATTGCTGCAAGTATGGTTTGTTCTTGTAGCGTGGTGCTTTATATTCAACACTCCTAACTAAAAGGTCAGCAGTTCAAATCTCCCAGCTGCTCTGTGTGAGAAAGGTGAGCAGTGTCTTCTGACACCTGGCAAGATTTACAACCTGGGAACCCTGGTAAGTGGAAATTGACCAGAGAGCAGGGAGGGTTTTGGGGATTTATTTTTTGTTTTGGAGGTGGTTCGATATTTTCAAAGTAAAGACAAACTTACATATTTAAAGAGCAATTTGGAGTTGCCTCTAAGTCAGAAGTTCTTAACCCCAGAAACTGCCTGTATTTTGTTCTTAGGAAAAGTGATATTTCTTCCCCCTGTTGAACTTCTAAAGATAGCACCATTTAGAGACCTGTGTTACTCAGATACAAGCACAAAATGTTACTCGTATCCTCTCACTTTTCTGAAGTCACTTAGAGGCAACTTTGTCTATTCAAACATGGCAGATGACCTTAAAATCACCAGAAAACATCATGGAGTTGTTAAAATTGGTAGCACCTAGTACAGATACTGAAGAACAATTTATTCAATCAGGCCCTTTAAACCTCTGCTTTAGATGGATTCTTAACAAGTTGAATATTTTGATTTTTCACTGAGACGCTAATTTTTAAAGCCAACACCAAACCCCACAGTTTTTGAGTTGTAGTGACCCTCCATCAGGTTTCTGAGGCTGTAAATCTTAAGAGCAGGGGACTGCCTATCTTTCCCCCATAGAGTCACCGGTGGGTTGGAACTGCTGGCGAATTTGCACGGTGAGCACAATTCACAGACTATCTATCCTACAGAGCTCCCTGGGAGATACCCAGTGAGGAAAAGTGCTTGTTGTCCAGTTGCTTTCAAAACCTAGTGATCTTATAGATAATAGAATGCAAGTGTTTGTGTGTCTTGGTCCTGTTCACAACTGTTGATATGTTTGAATCCATTGCAGTAGCCACTGCAGTAATCCACATAACAGAAAATTCGCCTCATTTTCACTGACCCGTCTACTTCAGCAACCATGATAGAGTCTTGTAACAATTCTGCTTTCCTGTTGGCATGTCCAACAACTGAGTTAAAATCTCTACATCTTCATTTCTAAGAAGTCTGGTTTTATTTCTTCTTAGACTGATGTGTTTATTCTTTTGGTAGTCTGCAGTGTATTCTTCACCGATACCATAGTTCAAATACATCAATTCTTTTTCTGTCTTCCTTTTCTCATTATCCAAAGTTCATATGAGACATGGCTTCAATCAGGAACCCATTAGTCATCAAAATGACATCTTCTTAAAATTTTAAAGAGGTATTTTGTAGCAGATTGGCCAGATGCAATATATCGTTTGAAGCTCTCTTTGACCACTGCTTCCACGAATGCTGATTGTTGATTCAAGTGGACTAAAAACATTGATAACTTTTCTTTTTCTCCCTTTATTATTATTATAGTATTTTTTTGGTCTAGTTGTAAGAATTTTTTCTTCGCTTTCAGATGCAATCACTACTGAGAAGAAAACTTCTTAGGTTCTTACACCTCTGTGATTGTAGAAGGTGCCAACTGGTAGTCTGAAAATACAGGACTTGGATGAAGTGTGACAGTCAGAGCCAAACAACCTCTGCTTCTTTGCAGCCTCCTTGAGAGCTTTTTTTTCCATTGTCCTAAAATTATCAATGTTCATGCTGATGATGAATCAATCTAGTTTTCAAGAACCAATTTTAGTATGAATTAAGTTTTACACAGCTAGTGTTTCTTGATTTTTTATCACAAGCCTTTACTTAACTCATATCCACTGGTTACAATTATTCTCCTTTCAGAAATGAGAAATGCTGGACTCACAAATACTTGTCCAAGAGCAGAAAGCTAGGAGTTGAAGCAAGGGCGATGAAGGAGCAGGATCCAGTCGGGTTCACTTAACACTTTTCAAAAACATTATCCTAAAAGCTCTAAATAAGCAAAGTAAAAAATATCTGAGAGTCTAAATGCCTTCATTCTTAGGCGTCTGAAAAATGCACATACTTGGGAAAACTCCTTGATATGTGTGTCGACTTTTAATCTATGTTGTTGTTAAATGTTGTTAAGCCCGTGCTGACTCTGTGTGCCTGTGAACAAGAGAACGGAGACCTTGCCTGCTGCTACTGTAGCCTCACAATAGCCTCTGCATAAGCTTGATGCAGTCATCATGTCAATCCGTCTCACTGACGGTCATCATCTTCTTCACTGACCACCTTCTTTTCTAAGCATAA